AAATTGAACCCATGCGATTTTTCTAATCTGTATAAAGCTAGCGCAATATAAGAATCGAATATTAAATCACCATCCATTTAAGATTGTTCCGCGAGAAAGATCCTTGATTTTATGGGAACAGGTGGCAGTGCTGTGCTAACATGTTTAACTGTCACTCGAAAGTAATTTCTGGTACCCTTCCCTAAGGTAACCGAAAACTTCCAAGCAAGGTGAGAGCAACTTTGATAATAGTAGTAAATAACATGTCAATTAAGGTATCTTTTAGAGTAATTGACATATTTTACAACCATTTTAATTTTTAGTTTGAGGTTATGTTTTAAATGTTATGCTGGCTGCCAGTATTGAACCATTAACAGTGTCCAAAATCGAACTGGGGTTCAATTTAGGCAACTATACGTCCTCCAAATTGCTTATTGTGTTTTAGACTGCTGTAGTGGATAGATTTCTGGTATTTGCGTGAAATACTTACTTATTATTTATTTTTAGATGGCAAAACGTGGAAATTATGGAACATGGTCAGCAGATGATATGGAAAAAGTTTTAACAGCATACAATAATGGTGAAAAAGGAGTAAACGAATGCAGCCGAGATTATGGTATTTCCAAATCTACACTACTTTGTGAGCGCATAACACAGTTTGCAAACTGCTTGTTCGGATTGACAATTCGTGATATCAGAAAACTTGCATTCGATTTAGCTGAAAAAAATGGGCTTCCTCACCAGTTCAATAGAGAGGTCAGAATAGCAGGAAAGAAATGGTACTACCGTTTTATGAAGAGGCACCCACAATTATCGCTGCGTCAGCCTGAGTCTACTTCAATTAATAGGATAAAAGGATTTAACAGGGAAAATGTTATGCATTTTTTTGATTTACTCTAAGGAATATATGGTAAATACAAAATCAATGCTACCACCATCTTTAATGTGGACGAGTCTTGTTTCTCGACTGTAGCTAAGAAATGTCAGAAAATTGTGGCAAGGAAAGGTTCAAAACCTGTCAGATCAATCGCTAGTGGGGAGTGGGGCGTCAACACAACCATAGTTTGTTGTGTAAGTGCAGCTAGCTGGGTTTTACGTACCCCCACTTATTATTTTTAAAAGGAAAGGGTATACTGCAGAATTGAGCAATGGCGCTCCACTTGGCAGTAAAATCGAGATATCTGATTCTGGATACATCACTAGCGAACTCTTTGTCAAGTGGTTGCAACATTTTATGGACAGTGTTCGTCCTACAAAAGAAAATAAAGTGTTACTTATTTTGGATGGTCACACGACTCATTGTAAAAACCTTGCAGCTCTTCTTTTAGCAAGGGAGAATGGAGTGGTTTTGCTGCAATTGCCTGGACATACGACGCACCGTTTACAACCTTTAGATAAGGCTTTTTTTAAACCATTGGAGACAAACTATACACAAGCTTCAGAGAGATGGTTCAGGAGTAATCCTGAACGCGCAGTTACGCAATATCAAGTGGCAGAGCTACTAAATGCAGCATATGGAAAAGCAGCGACCATTGAGACTGCAATAAATGCGCTTAGATCATCTGGTGTTTGGCCTGTTAATAGGCATGTGTTCAATTACTCCCATTTCGTAGCATCTGAAGTGCTTAGACCTAGTGTAAATCCGACAAGTGAAGCTTCTAGACTTGGAAATTAGGAAAGTAGTGCTGATGGCGACATCCCTCTATCCATACTAAAAATTCAACAGGTTGTACCAAGTGCCTGCTACATCTGTAGTGGATAATACAGAAATGGCGTTAGATAAGTTACTAAGCACATCAACATCTGTCTGTCGCTAGTTTGGATGAAGTCGCTCCTTTGCCGAAACCAAAGAAGGTTGAGTCAAATAAAAAAAGTAGAGGTATTCAAAAGGCGGTTGAAATTACAAGCCGCCTTTATAAGGACTATCTTAATGACAGCATAGAAAAGAGACGTAAGAAGACAAAAGTACCTTTGAAGAGAAAAGTACCTTTGAAGGGCTTAAATGAAATCAAGAAGGATTCGCAAAAGTGGTTTTGTACAGAATGTGAAACGGCAGAATACAGTGATATGATCCAATGCATATGGTTCAAAGCATGGTTCCACTGCCATTGTGTAGGTGTAGGTGCCAGAACGAAAATATTTTTTTGTACTTCTTGTATTGGGTAGTTTTGCAATCCTATTGGAATAGTAGAAATATAGGAAATCATTCAAAAGTCGAATTTGGCTTTAAGAGCAAAAAAATTAAATTACCGTTTTCGTTACATTATTCTATGATACTTTCGTGTATGATGTTTTTATAAAAATAAAGGTTTTGTTTATTTAGCATGAAGTTATTTTTATTTTGTTGCTACTGCTTAATCTTTGTAAATAATGTGTAGGTTCAATTTAGGATACCTGGGGTTCAATATGGGCAACACGTTTCCCAAATGAACCATTTGCAATTGTTTTGTTTTTAATTAGTCATATAAGTAGTTCATTATTTTAAATAGTATTTATACATACCTATGTGTTCTCAAATATCCAAAGTATACTCTAGATCAACTGGATTTATTATTTAAAGGAAAAGTGGTTCAATATGGGCAATCTTACCCTATATATATATATATACAGGGTGACTTCGAAGTTGAGTCATTTATTTTAACAGTGATCACTGATCAAAAGAAATGTTTTTTTCCTTCACCATTTTTCTGGTAAAATTAAAGTAACAAAGTTATAGCCCTTTGGAAGTTTGAGTACCGCCCTGTCTCAATAATAATATCATGTGCTCGTGTTTGGCAACAACGGATATAATCCGCCTTATCGGTTCATCGCATCGGAAACAAAAAAGCGAAAGAATTTGGAACGATGTTTTTACAATTATTTTATTCAGTTGTATACATACAGTCAGTGCCAGTCGGTAACGCATGAGTGAATAGTCGTGTCTGTTGCGTGGCTCAAACGAAATAAAAAATGGCACATGCTTATGCGGATCGGTTTCCCAATCGAGTGCAACCAACCCCTCGTGCCTTTGTTAATCTAGTACAACGGGCTCGTGAATCAGGTGACTTAAGACCTCACAGGGGACCTCACGATCAAATACAGGTCCGCACTGAAATACTTGTCGAGAGGATACTTTATAAAACAAGGTAAAACATTTTTTTAATTTTTTTTTATTTTTACACACATATTTTGGTTTATCTTCCTTCTACAATCATTATCTGAAAATTAATGACTCAACTTCAAAGTCATATATATATAAGAAAAACATATTTCCAACGACGTTTCCTTTATTGTCCTATTTTTCCGGAATCAAGAAGTGTTTCGCAAATCGAGAGGATCAAATATATAGTTTCAGAATAGACCCAAGGGTCACACATTAAATACTTGCCCCATATTTGGGAAACGCCATGTTAATGATAAACTAAGACAATATTATCATACTGAGAAACAAATAAATTCAGTCAAAAGTAGGAAGTAATGCATAAGCTTATGAGCTGATAGATGAAGAGTGCGAGATTTGATCATTCTTACAGTTAGATAACTTGTTGCTTACTTCTTATCATCTCCTTTCAATCAGATGAGACTGCTTTTCTCTGATTTTGTCCATCAAAATGTGTTTTATCAAGTTTGCTCACAGCGTCAAAGGCGCGCGCGAAAAGGATTTTTCTTATATTCCTGTCCGAATGTCTAAATTTTCGATTAATTACCTTATTCACAGAAACAAATAAGGCTATATGGTGCACTAACGGACATAAAAAATACCAAGCCGAAACATGCAGAAACGGTATTTATTCATATTTGCGTCGAGCAGAACGTATAGGCAACCAGACTTACGCACACTCTTATTTCCAGGCAAGCATCGATGTGCTTACAAATTGATCAGGGTTACCAGGTGTGGTGATTTTTCACCAAAATCTGGTAATTTTTAACCGTTTGTATATCCTTTACATATTTGCATATTAAATTTACTAAACAGATTCAAAAGTATAAGTAGTCAGATTTGCCTAGAGGGAGTCATCACTCTCTGGATCCGCGCTTGGTATAGTGCTTAGTAGTTAGCTTTACGTTCTCTTACAAGAACCTGAATATATATTATCATTTTGTAATGTATATAATTGTGAACGAAAATCTATATCGCTCATTTTGGTCTATCTTTCCACTGCATGTGGCATCCGAATTCGGACTAGGCCGAAGGAGCCAGTCAAGGATTTTTTGTCTACTAATTTTCATAATCTGTAGTATGTATACTACAAGTGCACTTGACGTAAGTAAATTTTTTGACATCTCTGTCGTTAAATTCATATTTTGCTGTTACTTGGTACTTATTCCTAGATAATTTTGCAAAGAGCAGCACCAGCCTGCTGAGGTAGATATTTCCACCGGTAAGTATTATTATTGTGTTAGTACAATGCGGTCACTTTGTGAGGCATTGGTAGTCAAGTGAGTCAAAAGTATGCACGAAAACTACGTACCTAATTTTGGCGACAAACATATAGGCTTGACTCCTTCTAATGTATTAGAATTCGTTGCGTCATCTTAAATCAATTTGAATGAAATTTGAGGAGGAATATGTTATGGTCATAGTAGATAACGCTGCTATATTTTTGAAAAAAGTTTTTGGTAGCAGTCAAAAACTCTTTGATGTCGCCGATACTTCCGCTTTCTCAGAATGTTTCCAATTTTTTATAAATAGCTCCAAGCAACTACTCATCTTAAAAGCGTCCATCAGGGATACATTTTTCAAGAAATTTCGCTCTTGAGTCATTACTATTGAGTGTTAAAAAATAAGCAATATTGCGGTAGTCTTTCCCTTGCGACATAAATGAGCCACGTGAAATAAAAAAAACAGTCTCCAGTGTCTTAATTTGCGAGTCTGTATTTTCGTAGGAGATCCCTATATGAAATTTTTCATAAGACTTGTGACACTTTTTGCGTTATTCTAATTGCATCCGAGAAATAAACTATTCATGTACGCTGTATAAGACAAAATAAAATTGGAATGTCTTAATGAAATAAATTACCAGGTAAGGGGAAGTCAAATGTCAGATTTTCCAATGTTTCATTTGTAATGTCCTGGCTGCCGCAACAAAATATTTGAGATGTTCATCTGCTATAGTAGTTGATCCACAGTACATGAACTCCACTAAGGATTTCACCACAGTATAATCACATCCTGTGATCACCACATGCTCGACAGATGAATTTTTCTCCAGTTCTTCCTATAAAAATACATCAGTCATGATCATGTGTATTTGTGAGAAATATCTACTCACCTTAAACAAGGGACTGTTGGCAGCCAGAACCACTTTATGAACGTGTAAAACCCTCTCTCCGCAGCAAATGGCTACATCCACGAACATCTGCTGCTCCAAAAGCGAGCACAGTCCAATAGTAGTCCGCTGAGGACGTTGTTCAAACTCTACACAGTATTTGCTTTGCCAATTTTCAGCCTTCTCCATTTTTTGCCTAAGATGTCCAATTAAAACGTATATTCGCAGCTACAAATAAAAAATTTTCTCACCCCTAGAATATATATATATATATAATAGAATTTGAAGTTGTACAGGTACAATCGACAGTATAAATGCTACAAAATTGCGCTATTGTGCAAGTAGCTGTTTTTTCTTGTAACTACCCAAAATCAAATTGAACTGACATTCAACATCAGTTTTGCCAACGTCCATACTAAGAATGGCGAAAGTCCCTATATAACCCCAGTAAATTATAGTTAAGAATTGACCATAAGATGTCGCCTTAAATAAAAGCTTACACACAGAAATACAAAATAAAACTGAAACAACAAAGGCATCATCTACTAGAAATTTCTTTGCCTTTCAGCCTTTGAGGCTTTTATGTATAATAATCATTGCAATTCATATTTAGTATGGAACCGTCAGTAAATTCTACCGCGCCATCTAGCAACGGCAAGTATTGACTAGGATCTCACTAATTCTTGCTGCAGAAAACTGTTTAAACTAATAATGCTACAAACAGAATTAAAGGTTAATTCTCACTATACATTCCGTTTCCATTCCATATCAGTTTCGTAAACGTTCAGTACAAGTTGATTGTATACACAATATACCTTACGGATAATGTGCATACACACGCAATAGCCTACTTTAAGCGAAGGCGAATATTTAATTTCAATAATTTACGGAACGGTTAGGGAATGGAAACGGAATGTATAGTGAGAATCAACCTTAAGGTATCTCGTTTTGCCACTGAAATACAGGGTGAAACGAAAAATTTCACTTTTTAGGGCACTGTCAGCTCGCACCCTGTATAAGATAGAAAAAAGGCGAAAACTGCTTTAGATAGATACTTCTGCATATTCTGTGGCGTGCTCGAAAATAAATCAGAGGCGTCGTTCAAGAGCTATGACCCTAACTTAGTTTTTTTAATGGAACACCCTGTATTGCACTTTGAATATTAACATTAATATGAGTATGATATAAAATGTGGCACCTTGTATTTATGCCCTCCATTAATTTTTATATAGCACAAAAAAGTGGCACAGGTTCCTGAAACTGTACGATTCTATCTTTCAAAATATCCAAGATACCGTGCAATTACAAGCAAACTGGAACAGAGTGTACATATTTGATTTTTTTTCTTTAAAACAATTTATTTTACAAAATATTTGATGAGACAACGTTAACAATAAAAATATGCTAATACCTAATTGAGGCAAAAATTATTTTGTAATAAAGGCTAAAATCTTTTTTTGTTTTTCAGGCCATCAGATACTAAATTAATGAAAAAATGTTTGATAATTAAGAAAAAAGATGATGCAGTTCGGCCATTATCTCCACAACCAGGTCCAAGCAAACCGTCTACTTCAGTTCAAGAAGAATCAGAGGAAACGAGACCGAGTACAACAAATGAATTAGACTCACTTCTGATTCTGATAATTCAGTATCCAGTAAGATCCAGAAGATCAACCAACCTCAAAAGAAAAAAATATATTCCCAAAAATACAAGGCTGAGTGGGAGCAGCATGAAAATTTTAAGAACTGGGTGCACCAAGTTCCTGTGGAAGTTTAAAAAAATTTAACTATTATGGTTAAGCAGCCAACTTGGTCAAAAAAAGTATATGAAATTTCTTCTGATAATACAGTAAAGCAAAATGAAATTAAAATTGCAGCTTTTATTGCAGAGCATAATATCGCAATAAATGTGCCAGATCATCTTAGCGAACTTATAAAATCTATTTGTTTGTCTGGAATGGAGAGTAGCCAAGCGAAAAATGTCTGTAGGCCGAACTAAATGTCGGCAATCATAAACAATGTATTAGGGAAAATAAGTTTTGAAAATCTTATTAGTGACTTAAATTGCCATAAATTTTCATTATTAGTTGACGAATCGACAGATTTCACGTCCGGAAAACATTTAGCAATTGTTGTCCGGTACAATAAAATTTTAATATAAAGGATCATTTTATCGGCCTTATTTTAGTTAAGACGCTTCAGCCCAAAATTTATACAACGTCATTATAAGTTTTTTTTCGAAAATAAAATACCATACAAAGATAATTTAGTAGGATTTGCAGCGGATGGGGCAAATGCTATGAAGGGAGCACAGCATTCGCTTAAAACTCTTTAAACTAACGATATACCGGATTTATGTTTCAAGTGTATATGCCACTCTTTAGCGCTTTGTGCCTCTTCTGCTTGCGAAAAATTACCGGACGATGCAGAAAAGTTGGTAAGAAGCGTATATACAATTATATGCATCGCAGTTTTAAAAGATTTTCGGAATTTCAAACATATTTTAACATCAAACCCCACAAATTATTGCATTCATCACAGACCAGGTGGCTGTCACTGATTTCCGCTGTAAGTAGAATTATTGAGCAATATAATGATCTAGACAGTATTTTCTTTGCCCATTTCCAGCCTTCTCCATTTTTTGCCTAAAGATGTCCAATTCAAACGTATAGTCGCAGCTACAAATAAAGAAATTGTCTCACCCCTAATAAAATTTGAAGTTGTAAATGTGTAAATGCTACAAAATTGCGCTATTGTGTAAGTAGCTGTTTTTTCTTGTAGTTACCCAAAATTCAAATTGAACTGACATTCCACATCGGTTTTGCCAATGTCAAAATTAAGAATGGTGAAAGTCCCTATATAACAGTAGTAAATTATAGTTTAGGAAATGACCATAAGATGTCGCCTTAATTAAAAGCTTACACACAGAAATACAAAATATAACTGATACAACAAAAGCAATGATCTACTAGAAATTTCTTTGCCTTTCGGCCTTTAAGGCCTTTGTGTATAATAAGCATTGCAGTTCACATTTATACGTCAGTCAGTAAATTCTACCGCGCCATCTAGCAACGGCTAATTTTGACTAGGATCTCTCTAATTCTTGCTACAGAAAACTGTTTAAATTTAGATCCCTGTCTCGTCTTGTATCGTCATGTGGGGCCAACTGAAGCCTGACAAGGCGCAATACAGGAAATCTGGCAACGTTTTTTGCAGTGCAAAAACGGCCGACAACACTGTCAATATTGATAGTGTCACTTGTCTTTCATACATCCTTCTTCAACGTCACCGCTGTCAAGCTGCCATTTTTCCTTTACCGCCAAAAAGGTGCCGAAGCGTATATTTTGTGATAGCACGATATCAGTCAAGTGGTGGGTAATCAATACTTTTGCAAGTATCGAATAGATACCGATACTTGATCTGTAAGTATCCCATACTGAGTATGCAATACCAATACCAAATATCGGCTCGATTAATTGCCGTTAGTATCCGTTAATTTAACACTGTTAGTGTGATGTGAAATAATGATAAATAATAATAATCCTGTTCGTGTCTTTATGTCGCTGATCCACGCCCCGACCTTCGAATTTATTGCTTACTGTTTGTTTACTGTTATTATGCGGTCTCGGTCTCCTATAAGTAGGTATCATCTAGTATAGACTAGAAATTAGAAATGACTGATGAGTAGTGATGAGCGATACGCTGAATTTTAAATTACATTGCTATGTTTGTTATTGTTACAATATTGGTTAAAAAAAAATACAAATTCTGGGCTTTTGTAACCTGAAATTAATTCAACCTTTTGCTTCAGTTAAGTGTTAGAAATCAAAAGAAACACTTTAATTCCCAAAAGTTCGCCTATATTCAATTGACAACCGGAACGTGCAACAACCCAAAAATCGTATTCAAATTACCAATCTCGTAAGACTGCCTTAGTTTTTTATCCTTTCGGTTCCCAATACCTGAGACCGAATCTATATCAAATATCGACATCTACATAAACGTGAAGGTAGACATCAACATCCTTATCTTAACGAGTTCTGGGAATCCCACGTGTCGGCCTCGACGTTGCGTTCAGAAGAACTGCTGGGTTATGTCATATCAAATAGTATAGCTTACATATTTACATAAGTTTAGAAGTGCTTAGTGAATTATATAATATATTCTCTTTTTCAAAATATAATAAAATATGAGTAATAAAAGAAGAAGTGATGTTTGGTTGTATTCAATGCAATTGATTCAAATAAAGCAAAGTGTGACATTTGCAAAAATGTCTTATCCTATAAAGGTGGTGCAACCTGCAATAAGGAAACATTTGAAGGTGAAGCATTTGCGGTAATAACGCAAGATCTTCCGTCTCCTTCGTCTTAAGAACATCTGCGGAGTTGGAGGAAATACCCGGACCATCAACCTCTTCTACACCTTTGGAAGGCACCCCAGGCACCCCCAGGAAAATTGATCAGGACAAAAAACGAATGCCTTTTCCCTCATCAAAATAATCTAAAATATCGACTTTTGCTACGCGGCCAATGTCTATTCCGCGTACTAAGAATCTGCATATAAAAGTTTTAAACATGATTATAAAAGACATGCAGCCATTTACAATTGTTGAAGATAAAGGGTTCAGAGAATTGTTAGAAGAGTTTGATCCTGCTTATAAACTTCCTTCAAGAAAAACTTTAAGCAACAGTTTGTTGACCCAAACATACGATAGAGTTGTTCAGAAAGTAAAGAATTTACTAAAAAATTCGGAGTATTTGACGATTACGACAGATACTTGGACATCCACAGCTGTTGAAAATTATTTGGCCATAACCGTACATTATTGTTCTGTCACTTTCTGTCTACACTACAGTATGTATAAATAGTCAGATTGTCAGTATTTATTACAGTATTCGATACATTTATCAAAAAGTATCGGATACTTCTGACTTCGGAAAGTATCGGATCTTTTGTATCGGATAGATACTTTTTGCCCACTACTATCATACATAAGCGTACACTGGGGAAGTTAGGCACACGAGGGACGTATATTTGGGTCGCCTACAATTTTGTTCGTACATCCCTTATTCCCCTTTCCCTATATTGGTTTTTGTGAACAACAGGTACAGACTGGTAGATACAACCGACGATATATCTTTATTATTTATTGTCGGTATACCACCGTCAATATCGCAACATTGCACTGCAATAAGGAAACCAAAGCTCGTCTGTATTTAATTGAATATTAAATTAAAATGTTAGGTGATGAGAGTGGAACAGAAAAGTATTCAGAATCTTATAAACAAGAGTGGCAAAAGCAGCTTCACTGGTGATAGCATAGGAGATTGAAGAGCGACTAGTGTACTGTGTAGTCACTGTACATTCATGACTTCAGATTTTTTCAGGAACACATGCCCTCTGTGCGCGCAAAGCAAAAATGTGACGGCCCTGATTTTTCCTCCCTGAATCTGTCAAATTTCAACGTCTACCGGTTTCGACTTTTTCGGTTCGGCAACGCTGTCGATCGTGTCCGTCGTGTTGACGTGGTGTTGAAAATTACAAGTTGACATGACGAGATTATTTTGGGAATAGCTGTTTTTTAGATTGAATGAAATTTCTGTATTTTTGAATCGATTGACATTCCAAAATGGGAGAAAAACAGAGGCCAACATATAGTCACTACGCAGAATTGAACCGTTGCAGTCAAAATGGAGAATACGAAAGAGCGTTGAAAGTAGCCAACAAAAGTAACACCACTGCTGCATTAGCTAGAAGAGCATATGGTTAATTTTTTCAATATCAGTTTTAGGTGTTTCTCCCGATGAGATTTTGGCCTTACACTGTAAACTTATTTGTTTGATACAACTATCCAAGTTGATGAAGCTATTGCTCTAATCAATAGAAACCCACACTATTTAAAGTGAGTATTTAAATTAAAACTTTTATTGGATCTACTTGTCTTATCAGGCAAATACTACCCAAAATGCACTACTATACACCCCATCCAAATTTATTACCATATATGTGTATTCATTTGTGATGGTTTTCAGGGTTATTCTGTTTGAGAAAGCATACTGTTATTATCGAGCAAACAAACCAGCTGATGCATTGAAGATCTTAAATAAAAGTGAAGATGAGCTAGATTTGCGGTGTAAAGAACTAAAGGCACAAATATTGTACAGGCTAGAAAAGTATGATGAGGCTGCCAAAATGTATCATGAGAATATCAAAAGTACTAATGATGATTATGAAGAAGAAAGGTATACAAATTTGAGTGCTGTGATGGTGTTTCTAAACAGAAATGATACAGTTAAGTATTCTTATAATTTATTCAACAAACATTATAGACATTTTGTTTATATTTTATATATGGATGAATATATGGGACTTAGACTTTCAGCATCAACTATGAAAAGTAGCTTATTTCATTTATGTCACAAGACTAAGTGATTTTGAGTGATGAACTATGGTTATATATAATCAATATAAGTAAATACAGTGATAGTAACAATAGTAATATATTAACTGTAGAACTATTTCACAAACATATTTATATATACATCATACATTCACTTAATGCAATAACATTTGTGCAATCTTGAAATGCTAATTAAAAATATCCAATGACGGTGGTAAATCATTTGCCCTGTGTACCTATTGTTGACGTAGACCCATGCATGGCATAGTTAATAATTAGTTTTATGAGAATTACCAGAGAACAACTGGTTCTGCCTCATTTGTCTGGCTGGTACATATAAGTTAATTTTAAGCAAAAGGTCTGGGGAACATATCAAGTCCATAAATGTCATAAATGGTGATGTCCAAAGGGTCAGCTGGTAACATCATCATTTGACAGTAGTTACAAACCATGTTGTTTAAAATGAAAACAGTTAAAACTAAATACAACTAGTTGTCAGATAATTTATGTATTTATTTATTTACCCTCCTACAAACACATACAAATGTATTTAAATGTAGAGCCCCTACTAAAAAATAAATTACAAAGACAAAACAACATTTTAAAATGCAAAACAAAATAGTATATAATACTAATGGCATCAAGGCAATGTGCTGTTTAGAAACACAGCGTTGATTTGTCCTACTGATGTACAAAAAAGGTCTAAGGCCCGTATCGTCAGTCGTCCCTACAATTGTAGGGCGCGTTTATGGCCTCCTTGATTGTCATACTCCTTTCTCTCCTTCAAAAATTTCTAGATTACACTTGTCCTGTGTCAGCGTCAGTGCTCTCCTATTGTGAAGATATGTTTTCTTTTTAAATTGTAGGAAATTTCAGGCTGATAAACATGATATAACTCAAAAGCAAGCACAATTTGATGCAAATAGATGTTTGTGACATAACCTCAAAATAGATTTCTGACACGGAGAAATAGAAAACTATGACAATCAAGGAGGCCATAAAGGCGCCCTACAATTGTAGGGACGACTGACGATACGGGCCTAAACCACACATAAGAATGTCACATTCGTACATCATCCTATTTATAGGAGAGCGACTTAACTTTTGACACTGGAACAATTTGTTTTTTTATTCTTAGTTTAACTTTAGGAACTACAAATAATACATATTTATATAAATCACATTTCTCATACTTTAGGTTGTTACTGACATTGTAGACGAATAAATCATCACTCAAATGACGTCTATCGCTTAATTTGACCATTTTAAATTCATTCAACATACTCTTATATGAGATCATAAAAGAATATACAGGGTGACTTTGAAGTTGAGTCATTAATTTTCAGATAATGATTGTAGAAGGAAGATAAACCAAAATATGTGTGTAAAAATAAAAAAAAAATATAAAAAAAATGTTACCTTGTTTTATAAAGTATCCTCCCGACAAGTATTTCAGTGCGGACCTGTATTTGATCGTGAGGTCTTGGAGCACCGGCATGCCGTCACCTGATTCACGAGCCCGTTGTACTACATTAACAAAGGCACGAGGGGTTGGTTGCACTCGATTGGGAAACCGATCCGCATAAACATGTGCCATTTTTTATTTCGTTTGAGCCACGCAACAGACACCACTATTCACTGACACTGACTGTATACAAATGAATAAAATAATTGTAAAAACATCGTTCCAAATTCTTTCGCTTTTGTGTACCGATGTGATGAACCGATACGGCGGATTATATCCGTTGTCGCCAAACACGAGCACATAATATTATTGAGACAGGGCGGTACTCAAACTTCCAAAGGGCTATAACTTTGTTACTTTAATTTTACCAGAAAAATGGTAAAGGAAAAAACATTTCTTTTGATCAGATCTACTCACTGTTAAAATAAATGACTCAACTTCGAAGTCACCCGGTATATTATGTTTTTTAGAATACAAATATCTGAGAAATCTCTTTTGCACTTTCTCAATCATTTCGATATGGATTGTTTGTGGTGACCAAATAGTTGATGCATAATCTAATTTAGGTCTCACTAGAGTGTTGTACAAAGTTATTATTGTATTTATATCCTTGAAATATCTTGTATGCCTAAATATGAATCCAAGGAGTTTATAAGATTTATTACAATGTGTTCATAATGCTGGACAAATGTTAAGTTTGTTTGAAAGTAGATGCCAAGATCCTTGCATGTGCTTTCTCTGTCTAGCTGTACATTTTCAATCGTGTATGTAAAATTTATGTATTGTTTTTTTCGTGTAAAAGTTAAAACATGGCATTTGTCGATATTTAACGACATCTTATTTTCGTGAAACCAATTGGATATCAAATCCAAATCCTTCTGTAGTTCATCAATCCTTAGATGATGTTCTGGGCTTAAATATTTTAAAGTCATCAGCATAGAGGAGGCATTCTGAATTGTTTATGCAGTTTGGTAAGTCATTAATGAAAATACAGAATAGCAAAGGACCAAGGTTACTACCTTGCGGCACCCCAAATGAAGCTATGTATTGGTTTGGTACTGATCTGCCAACCTTTTACCTGTTGTGGTCTTATGGTAAGATAAGACGCTATAAATTTACATGCAGTTGAAGAGAAACCAAATCTACCCATTTTAGCCACCAACAGGCCATGGTCAACCCTATCGAAAGCTTTGACACAATCTGTAAACACAACATCCAACTGTTGTTTATTATTTATAGCCTCAGCTGCTGCCTCTGTAAAGATGCTCAAATTGGTAACAGTTGAGACACCTGGCAAGAAACCATGTTGTTGAAAAGCAAATTCGTTTTACTCGAGTTCAGGATATCTTGATACAATATGTTTTCAAAAATGTTTGCAGGAGCATTAAGAACAGTGATAGGCCTGTAATTGTTAACTAAACTGGCGTCTTCTGACTTGAATATTGGTGTTACAGATGCATTTTTAAATTTCTCTGGGAACGTGTCTGTCCTTAAGGACAGATTGAAAATTGTCATTAATGAGGCACTCAATATATCTGAACACCCTTTGTAAATATATGAAGGGATGTTATCATTACCAGTTGCTTTATTTGGTTTTAACCTTCTGATACTTGCTTTAACTTGCGCCTCGGAGACCTGGGAGAATGTGTAGTCACTATTACACATATCAAAATTTGGTTTCTCAGCCTGTTGAAATACCGATCCAAAATACAATGCAAATGTATCGGATATCTCCTGGGAACAACTAATCACAAGGTTCAATTCACTATATTATTTATTATTAAATTTAAGAAATATTCTACCATTAAATCAATTAATTAGTTTGTATATATAATATATATTATATATAGTGGAAACTTGTTTATACATATTTAAAAATAGAGAAAATTTTCCAACACATGTCCAAATGCATTCAATTAATATAAGGATTAGTGAAGATTTTTATATACCACCCTATAGAACTCAAATTCTGTGTAAGTCCCAAAATATTAATAGCTTAAAAACGTTTAACCTACTTCCTTTGGAAATAAAGAATTGCCACAGTCTAAAAGACATTTAAGAATCTATTAAAAGACTACTTCATTGAAAATAGCTATTATACTGTGTAAGAATATTGTCATATATATGCTGTTAAATCTTATTTTTCACTGTTTGACTGTTTTTTGTTAGATGTATGTTTTTTTTAGATTTAAAAATGTATGACAATTCCTATACAATGTTTTTCCTTGAGAGGAAATAAATAAATAAATAAATATAGATTCCTTTAGCTAAATATGTTCAATTGCTCTTTTTTCAGGAGAACCAAATTGATTATCTTAAAGATAACACATATGAACTATGCTACAACAAGGCATGCATTCTTATTGCTCATGAGAATTATACTGAGGCCGAGAAAAAGCTTAAACAGTGTGAGAAGCTGTGTAGAGAAGCTTTAGAGGAAGATGAAGCTGCAGAGGAAGAAATTGATATAGAATTGGCTTTGATAAAGTATATGAGATAAATGAATAACATGTTTACTGAACTAGTATAATGTTGAATTTGTTATAGGGTTCAGCTGGCTTATGTATACCAAAAGCAAGGTAGGATTAGAGAAGCTCATCAGATATACACTGCTACTTTGAAGTTGAAAATTGAGGATATGGCGCTAATTGCTGCAGCGAGCAATAATGTTGTTTGTATCAATAAAGATCAAAACTTGTTTGACTCAAAGAAGAAAATGAAAGCTGCCATGAACGAAGCATTAGTTTACAAGCTTCCCTCAAGACAAAGGAAATACATAGCACTAAATAATGCAATCTTAAATTACTATGTTAATCAAACAGAAATCTGTGAGAAAATTTGTAAGAATATTGAAGATACTTATCCAGATTTGATGATTCAGATCCTCATTTTGAGAGCACTGAATCTTATCAAAGCTGACAAAGTCAAAGAAGCTATTGAACTCCTTAAGAACACAGAAAGGGAGGATAATAGGTTGTATTTGCACTTATGCATTGCACAAATACACCTGATGCAGGTAATATTTTTTTTAAACTTCTCAAAGCTTCTTTGCATACTCCCTGTTATCTGTAGTAGTATAGTACACAACAGGGTATATAATGATGTCGTTCATACAAATCTAGATATTTTCAGCTTCTCAATAGATTTAATTTCTTTTTGCAAATCCTAAAATTTATGTGATAGAACAAACTACATACATTATAATGGTAATACTAAATGTATCAAAATGGGAGGGTAAGTTGTGTGGATTGCCTACTTTCAGGGGGATTAAGAAGCGAAATAATAAAGAGTAGTGAACAGAATGCACCTTTATTTTAAGTTAGAATTTCAAACAAAAAACAATGTGGTTTCTCCTTCTTTCCCTTCCTCATTTTTTTCCTGCAAGTCTGAGGCATTTGGGGGCAATGGCGCCATTGCCATTTTACTCTATAAATGGATATAATCTAGCTACTAAAATATTTAAACAATTCCATTTCATATTCTTACCATGTATTGGGCTGTAGGGAGAAAGGAAAGAAGCATGTAAGGTGTTGGAAAATCTGGGAGAGCATACCTACAAACCAGGAATAGTTGGAGCCTTAACAACACTTTACCTTGGCCTAGGAGATGAACAAATGGCATTAAAGGTCTTTGAACGAACTGTTGAATATTACAAGAGAAATGAGGTTAGTCTCTCTATGTACCTATCAATAGCTGCTCAAGTATTTTAACTAAGATTATTTAGTTAGACATAGTTGATAAGATAAGATGTAGATGTTTTTGATCTCTAATGTAGAATAATTTACATAACATTTGTTGTTTGAGAGAAACATGCCTACGGCTGAAAATACTCGATAAATGTGCTGAAAATTTCATAATTATCTATCTGCTAAAGTTTCGACCCTCTCCATAGTTGTATTAATGATTATTATCAACAGCTATATCTGCTACTCAAAAATACTCAAAATTACCTGATGTACAGACTCAACTAGGAATGAACATATAAATTGGTGCATAGAAGTAGAAATCTAAAAGAAAATGTCTAAAATTTATTTTCGAAATGGTAGATCTTTGGACACTATATTACATGGCAAAGGACAAGTTTCGTGATATTCAGAATAGCATAAGTAATGACATACCAGCAAAATATAGACTAAACATAATCAGCCAGTGAAAAAATTATTGAAATCGGCCGATAAATGACAGAGAAAGTGATGCTTAAATTTATTTTCGAAATGGTAGATCTTTGGACACTATATTACATGGCAAAGGAAAAGTTTCGTGATATTCAGAATAGCATAAGTAATGACATACCAGCAAATATAGACTAAACATAATCAGCCAGTGAAAAAATTATTGAAATCGGCCGATAAATGACAGAGAAAGTGATGCTTAAATTTATTTTCGAAATGGTAGATCTTTGGACACTATATTACATGGCAAAGGAAAAGTTTCGTGATATTCAGAATAGCATAAGTAATGACATACCAGCAAAATATAGACTAAACATAATCAGCCAGTGAAAAAATTATTGAAATCGGCCGATAAATGACAGAGAAAGTGATGCTTAAATTTGGCGCATTATAGCACGAAATCATAGCTGCCATTCGTTCGGGTCTGACGTCACACTTCTCTAGTGCCCAGCTTCTCGTCGCGTAGGTGTTCGACAGCGTTTAATCATTAGTCTATAGACAATTCATAAGGCACGCCTGTACGCTCGGACACGTGGTTTCCAGTTGATAACTACATATTGAGTACTGCGTAAGTTCATACCATTATGGACGCCGCATGTGAAGGTACGTAGAAAAAAGGGGGTTGTAATAATTGTTGTGCTCGTACATTTTGGAACGGTACAGTAGTTATAACAACCTTTTTTTGTTATTTCCCTCATAACCGATCGTATATGCAGTCATCTAATTAAACAAATTGGGGCAGAAGACGTTTAGCCTACCATGTGTCCCGTTGTATGTGTGCCTATGCATGTGTTTAGGAGATTGAGTCGGCTCGAGCCCAGGAATCGGCCGCGGGCGTTGCAACTGGATACTGAAGTCACACGTAACGTACAGGCGGAATAACAATATTCTCCCGGGGCGCAACTTTGATGGGCTGTAACTTTTTTGTTTTTAAAGATAAATTAATATTTTTTTCACCATCTTGTTTCATTTTTTCTAAACTTTCATTTGAGCTAATAACAAAAAAATGGTGCTTGTTAATATATGTATATCTCGAAATGTCTCAGCTTCCAAATAATGTATTTGGATAGTTCATCAAACATGAAGATGTCTTTACTCTCCATGCGCATGTACACTATATGGAAACCATTTTAAGAATTTGGAACAAGTATATGAATTCTTTCTGTAATAGATAAGCAAAGCTGGTCTGTCTTCTCTATGGAGACAAGCGGCAGAATTCCACATTAAGAAAGGGCTACCTCAGGTAGCAGCCAATAGTTTGGAAGAGCTACTAAAAACTAATGGGGATGATAAGAAGCTTATTGCTCAACTGGTCTTAGCTTGTTCTCAAGTAAGTAAATTTATATGAAATTACATTTAAAACAGTTCTATGATATCCATATTGGATATAAAAATATAGCTAATATAATCCTGTAAATGCACTACAAATAGTACAGGTGATATGTTCGCTTACAGTTCGATGTTGCTCGTGCGTTGGAGCTAAGCAAACGGCTGCCTGATGTAAAAGATATAGCAAAAGATGTGGATATAGAAATCTATTGGTGTCAACGCTCGCTGCCCCAATATACACCAAGAAAAGTCCAGCTATCAAGCAAGATTCATTGCCAAGGTAAGAGCTTCAAATGGATCTCAACCTACCCATTTTTTTAATTCAGTCCCACAATGCTCACGATTTTTTAACGCGCTTTTATTAGCTTGACTTGTATGTAATGGTACCTTTCAACCTAATTTTTATTAATTTCAAGAAGTCTGATTCACTTGAAAATTTTCAGATAGCTTAAGGGCCGATGACTTGGAACAAAATTCGAATTTGATAATTTTTAAAACATTTGAAATTTGGAAAAAATTGGAAATTTTGAGAAAAATTCAGTAATTTTGAAAACATGTTGGAAATTTCGACTTTTGTAAGTAAATTTAGATTTATTGTCAAATATATAATATACAAAAAAACGAATCTCCAGATAAGTATTTTTGTTGACCATTTGGTACCAAAAATCCAGAAAATAATACACTAGTTTCAAATCCTAAAAAACACGCTTAATAGCAAATCGAACTAAAAAGTAGAAAATACTCTACACTACAATGGAAAGTTGGAATAAGATATAATAATAATATAAAAATGAAGATATCAACAAAAAATTTAATTACAGTAATTAAAGCTTGGATGAAAAATAGTTTCGTGCCAATTTTGTAAATGGCAACTAAAAAAATAATTCGAATATTTAATATTAAGCACTCCACGCTATTCTTCTTTGAGTTTTTTTGTTAATATCTTAATTTTTATATTGATCTTATTTCAAATGAATCAGTCACACTTAATAAGTGCGTTTATTTTTTTAACTATAATTTATTACAATGCTGACTGTAGAATTTGAGTAACAAGATGAAAAATGTATGTTTTAGTACTCCCAGAGAAGACATCAAACAGAAGAAAACTGATAAGCATAAAAAACGGAAGGGTAAATTACCTAAAAACTATGATCCCAGCGTGACCCCAGATCCGGAACGGTGGTTGGCTAGATACGAGAGAACCGGCTATAGGAAGAAAAAGGACAGAAGGGCCAAAGAAGTCATCAAGGGATCACAAGGGACAGCTTCTGCACAAGCTGAGCAATTGTAAGTGAAAAATAAATCAGAAGGTGATAACATTAACAAGATTTTTTTAAATTATTGGAGTATACAAGTTGCCCCAGAATAATATGTTAATCTCTCGTATTCATATATGATACAAAAAAATAATGTCACAAGTTCCTATAAAATGAATTGAATCCTGTCAAGGGGCATACTGCCATCTTAGTCGAATTGCAAAGGGAGGACCCCGTCCTTTTAAGCAAGGGCGAGAGTATTACCCCTAAATATTGCTTCAACCGCAAGTTTATTGTGGAGTATCCAATAGGGAGGAGTGGGACGCCGGTAGACGGACGGCTCGGTCACCAAAGAGGGCTCAGGAGCTGGGGTCTCTGGGCCTAGAACTAGGCTAGCTCTGCCTCTCGGTGAATACACCACTATTTTCCAGGCGGAAATCTTAGCGATTCTGGCTTGTGTATCTCGCATTCTGGAGGAGGGTGGGCCTAGGAGAAGAATAACAATCTTATCCGACAGCCAGTCTGCAATGAAAGCACTGAGGGCCTATAAGATTACTTCGAGTCTTGTATTGCAATGCAGAGAGGCTCAGAATTCCCTCGCAGCGAGGCATCCGGTATCGTTAATGTGGGTAGCGGGGCACATGATCAGCCAGCAAGCTCGTTGGTCCTGAGCCAGCTCTAGGAGTAACCGCGCATACAGCTAGGAGGAAAATGGAGTCGTGGGTTGCAAGGCAACATTCTCAGAAAAAGAGAAGTATCTCCAGACATCTCCGCCAGGCACGGGAACTCATTGAAGGGCCCAGTGCTAAGGATGGATCTTTCTGCTTACCTCTGGATAGAGCCAACCTAAGATTGCTGGAAGAGACCTCGGCGCACGTTTTGTGTCGCTGTGAAGCTCTGAGCTACTATAGGCAGACTAAACTGGGGTCCATTACTTTGGACCCTCAGGACGTCAAGGAGCTTGTATTCAAGGCGATTCTCAACTTCGCTAAAAGGGCGAGGCTTGTGATCTAATGAATGTAGAGGTGCATATGTGCCCGCTTAAGCGGCCTATGCACTGGCTCCTTATGGTGGCCGGAATGCCTCTAATTTCACGATTCATTCATTCATTCATTCCTATAAAAAACGTCGTACAAGGATTAAAAAAATTGTACGATTAAGAAATACTCCATAAATCATTTGGCTTGCTAGCGGCGTACTAGTTTCTTTGTAAAAATGACAATTTTGAAAGGTGACATTGGTGATGTAATAGAACAACTTTTTCTGCTAAATTATGTTTTTTTAAATCCTCATGCCAAATGTAAAAATATATCATTCGAAGATATAAAATAAAATACATTTTTTTCTCGAAAATGCAAAACACTGTAGCTAAAAATTCAATCCATGACATATGTTCAGATATTTCATGTTTTTACATGTTATGGCACGTTCTGTATATTTCCTTGCTTTCTAGCGACTTCTCAAAATTCGTAGAAGAGAATCCGTCTACCAATGCGGCCGCTGAGACTACACCAAAGCCTTCAAAGACCCAGCTGCCACAACAAAAAAAGGGACAGAAAAAAGGAAAAAGCAAGCGCCGTTAATGGTTTCAAAAAACTTCGTTTTCATTGTTAATTCAAACCCTTTATAATAAATGTATATTCGCATCTTAGTTCCATAATAAAAATTTGAAATGATCGTCTGTGTCATTGTGCTAGCTATAGTAAATGTATATGTACAGGGTGACACATCCATATGGGAACGGAACATTTCTTTTCAACGAAAATTTAAAAAAAAATATTTATGGATCATAAATAAAATACAAGGTGTCCTATTTTTGAGCCACATCTCAAAGATGATTTTGTTTAAATCGAATGACCTACGTTTACTTCCTGCGCCACTTGGTGAGGAAGTTTTGTAATCGCAAAAAAGTTCGAAAATGAGATATTGTATTTTTTAGATGTTACATGACATCACGAAAAACCATGTCACTTATTTCCGTCGGTCTGTCAGTCCGCTTATTATTGACCCTTCTATTAACTTGGAACTGAATACGTCAAGTTGGCCATAAAAATTATAGCTGGGGAAAACTATCAATCGCGGAGATTAGTTTTTTGCTACTGTTATTAGTTCACAAATTATCGTGGGGTTCTGAAACTTTCAGTTTTGCAAATTTGGAATCAATGAACAACCTCAGAGCTCAATATTTTTGAACTGCCCCCCTCAACCAAGTTATAGCTGCGTCTGTACAGTTCAACTAAGAACTGGCAAATTCGACCAGAACGTGATCATTATTTTGTACTATTAAGGCGGCTGCGACGCAGTGAGTTTCAAGCCATTTACAAGGGGTTCACCTGCTTCAAAACTCACACTCCATTTTTCAACATTTTCGAATGAAATTCATACAGTATGTTCAGACGACAATTGCCCAGGGTTCTATGGGAGCACTATTTGAAATTTTGTTTTTGTACAAGATTTATGGTGGGTTGAAATGCTTACTTTTTTGTTTAACTTCGCGATTTTCTTAAAAAGAGCCTAGTGGAAAAATGAAAAAGTAGCTCAATAGCACCCTGTGTGGTTTTATTTTCAGCGCACTGAAAAAATTTTATTCAAAAATAAAGCGTCAATTTCGAAAAAAAATTGTCTACTATTTCGTGATGTCAGCCCAACCGACGCGGCGGTATGTACGGACTAAGAAAGGACGTATTCAGATAATTTGGTGGCCTTATTTCATATGATATCGTGTATATAAGCCATTCTAGGCAGCAGCGGTGGCCGCAGTAGTAGACTCTTCGGTCTCCTGATCAGTCGCCGTGCGGGTTCGAGTCCCGCCTCAGGAGAAATTTTTCTCTTGGCTATGGATGTTGTGATTGTCCGTAGGTGGTAGATGGTCTCTGACTGTCGAACGCGGAGGTACCGCCCAGCGGTTCTCGTAGGCGGAGCCAGAATGTGTGCATGTTGCATGCACACGTGTTCCCTCGCCAGAGTCCGTGTGACGTCCCCCCCCCTTTCCCATGTACCCCCCTATAGCCCCACGGTACCCAATGGGTGCTTAGGCCTTCGTGGTAGTTGGAGTATAAAAAAAAATTCTGCAAATAGGTGTTCATAAATCGTGATGCAAAGTAAATGTTCGTAACTAGTTACGTAAATGTAACTTGTTGATCTATATGGTCAATAAATGAAACCTAAGATGGTGAATATACTGATTTCTTGACTTTAGGCTGCTTCAGCAAATTAAAATTTTTTACTCCTCCATCTTAAAGCCGTTTTATTTCGTACGCCTGTGGCGTGGAATATTTAGAAAATGAGATGTTATGTTTTTTAGGTCTTATATGACATATACATCACGAAAAACTATATCACTCATTTCCGTCTGTCTTCTAATCCTTTACCCGTCTATAACTTGGAAAACATAAGAGTCGCTGAAACTCGGTTTTTGACGTTACAGGGATTCCAAATCATTGTCATAAAAAAATTGTAGTGCTTAAAAAGTGTTGGTTATGGGAAGAAATGTTGCATCTTTGATATGTGAAACACGTTCTATTATTAAGAAGCTTTTGATCCGAGTAATTACAAGATATTTAAGTGACAAAAATCCGACGAATAATGTGCTCACGATTTGAAAAAAAAGGCGATATAGGTTTGACACCGAGAGCCAACAGATCTGCAACTGCCGACAGTAGTGAAGAATAAGTTCGGATATTTATAGTGAGGATTATTAGGGCTAGATCGCCAATCGAAATCCGACGACAAGCAATATTCTAACCCCACATGGATGGACCATAGTGTGTATATAATCATGACCTATTATCAAATATAAACGATTATGCATAAATGGAAACTGGAGATTGGGGAAGATCGGAATAGATATAAGGTAGCGAAATGTCAAAGTCTTTTTTGGGTTAGTTTATTTATTTAACAAATTTTGGACTTCCCCAAAATAGGCATCGATGATATAGATCGGCATCCTAAGTTATGAACGCTATTATTTTTATAATCTACATATATGAAAATACAATGGTATAATATTCAATTCAGTAACGAGAAGCAGAAAATGGGAGCGTGGCTTACTAGGGAGTGATTAACGTTCTGTTTTTTATCAAATATTTAAATTTAAACTTTAAAATTTTACAAGCACAAATATCAGCTCCCCGTAGGCCATGACGTAAAGTCGGATACGGAGGTGTGGACGCTCCTATGTTGCACGCTTCTCTCTCTATCTCTCTCATACACATTGACTGGCAAAGGCAGAAAAAGTAAATGAATTCGAATGTATATGCCATTTATTTGGCTACAGCGCCATCTATGAGATATTATCCTTTTCAGTAGATTTCTTAATATTGTGGAGAAGAGAAACATTTACCTTATTTCACGAGTATCCATCACGCTTTGACGACTACTAAGGTAAACAGCTGATCAGCAAGTGACATTTTGTTTTAGTCTGCAACGTTGGCAATAATTTATCGGGTATAAATCTATTTTTTTATAGTAAAACTTGTTTGTGGCGTTTTGTTTTTTGTATGCAAATGAACTTTTCTAAATAGAAGAGCTGTTAACAAGTTCAAAATCAATCTGTAGCGTACAAAAAACCAAAACAAAATTCGGCTGGCGTTGACTGATCCGTCAGAATTATGTGTCCCGGGCCGATATGGGGAATTTTGAGATATTACTATATAATCAGCTGTCATTCTGCCGTAATGGATACTCGTTAAATAGGGTATAGCAGTGATAAATTTTCAAACATTAGGCTAGCATATGTCCTCATGTAGGATAATTTTTTTGATGCCGAAATACAGTACATGATTGGCTATCTTCAAATAGAATACATTAATCAATGATCATACTAACTGAACTAAAGCTGTACACGATTACAAATATATAAAACTCGAGTCCTAGCTAAAGACCAGGCTACCTAAATAACTGACAAAGGATGGTCGAATAAGCATTTGCGGGTTAGAATTTTTTTTTAATTTGAAGCAGACACTTTTCTTTTGTTGCTGAACTAAAAAATATATAGCTATATAAATTACACAGTCTGTTATCTAGGCAGAATGGCCTCAAAAAAAAATATTTAAATATCATAAGTAGTCTAATGTTGTGTAGTAGTCTGTTTTATAATAATTAAATTTGAAGTTATCTGTATCCAGTGTAATAACATTGCAGTAAAAAAAACTCAAGAAATCTTGAGTTGACAGCCTTGGATTTCTAGCTGAATTCTGGGAAAAATAGTTGTATTTCCTTAACTGCAGATTCTGGCGAATCAGATCCATGTGTGGCATTCCTTGTATCTGATAGTCCAAACTGCCCTCTTAAACTACATGGATTTTCAAATTGTGCTCTAAATACTTTTGTTGGTCCCATCAATAGCCGCCATTCTTGTATAGCATTCTCCCTAGCTAATACCATCAACTCACTTGGGCCACTGGTCATGAAGCTAACCAACCTATTATAAAAAAATTGTCCTTTGTGTTCACTGTAGAATGATTCTGCTTCTTCTATGCTGATTATCTTTCTCTTCAAACATACAATTTCGAAATTCGATTTCAAAATTATGTTTTTAACTTGGTTAAGTGAAAATGGGTTCTTCACTATGTGAGGTTTAAGTATGGCTAGGGTTTGTTGGGCATTTGACATATTCCATTTCCTATTTGTGCACCTAGAAATGTTACTTGTTTCAATTTTATCCAACTATAATATTTTTGTGTTGCTTGTAAAAAATTGATAATAATTAAAATCTGTTTAATTTTTAACTATTAATAGGAACATGTGGAACAATGACAAATAATGCACCATCCACCTAGATTAGAGTAGTTAACTAACCCTAAGAATGGATATACATTAACAAGGAATATTTTGGTTACTTAAAAAGGGTTTATTGCAATATTATAACCAATGTACTTGGTGTACATTTCTAGTCCACAAAACATCGAACATCTGTTATTTCTTATTTTGACTACACAAAAGGTGATAAACCACAGAGCTTTTATAGATAAAGCTAAGTTCCAAGAAAGTAAAGTTTTTGTTAGCAAATTTTGAGTTGAAACAAACATAAGACCTGTGTTTATTTAAGAATGACTACTGGATAGTGGTGCAATCAGAACATCTGTACCAGTCTGTGCAAAAACCTTGCAAGTTCCGTATTTTGAATTTTCCACATGACAATAAAAACTATGTCATTGGTAAATCAATTTTCAAGTACCTGAGCTTTTATTGGCCAGATAAGCATGAGGGATTGATTATTGACATGTAAACCACAGGATAAGTTCCATATGCTGGGATTAGTGGTATATAACAAGCAAAATAACCATATTTTTCATTGCTTTTATTCAAAATTGCACTCAAATATTGATTTACTAATATACATGTTTTAGCATCTTTTAATATTTTTTAGGTACATAGGGAAAACCAGGGAAAGCAAACACCTGAGAAGGTCGGATTTCGCGTTTTACAACTGAACAATGAATCAACCATCGTGAAAAAGTACATAAGACTTGTTGTTGAACTTCAATAATGTATTTTTTCAATAACAGAAATTGAAAATGGAACCACTATTTAAAATATTTAGCATATATTTAAAGAACATAATAATGAGAAGAAATGGTTCAATAGATTTGGTAAGAAACAGGAAACAAGTGATTCCAGGCATACAAGTATAAGTGCCATAACTTTATTTTTGTAGTTACCCATAAATATTAAAATACAAGACAGGGATATTGGTCCTGTCTTTGAAATGAGCCACTTAACATCCGCCATCAAGTAGTTCGTGAAAAAACCGGGCTTACAATGTTTTTTTCAATGAACGTGTATTGCCTGCTGTTATTTGAAGTGAAAAGAATGTAGCAACTGTGTGTTCGCTCGGAATACTACCTTTAATGGAGCGTTTTCAGTAAAAAAAGCAGTTGCAAGTGGTTTTTGCGCTGACTGATTGATTTGAATCACTTTGAACCTCAAATCCACCCCAGAATCACGTTTCCCTAACGTTAGTAATCATTAATCTGGAATGAATTCTTTTATGTACTACAGCGGCACTCTATTTTATCATGATTAATTAGCTTTTTCTTAATCGCAAGCTGCTTTAAAGCACAAAAAATTAATAAAATAAAAAAAGGTAATTACATTAATATTATTTTCGCCTTTTGTCCACAAAACAGTAAACAATAAACTGAAGAGCATAAAACATATAGACTGAAGAATCTGGAATTCCCAAGCGCAACACGATTGACTTATGTCATTGTCAACCGCCATCCTTTGTTGTTGCCAGATTGTGTATTAGTGCATTGCCAGCTCTACATATAAATCTGAGATTGCTATACTTTTATAAATAGGAATTTGGTGGAATATGGGAGACCTTATAACGGCATGAGTTATCGTAATAACTCATTCATAAGTAACCGCATCTTTGATCTTTCTCAGGGTCTGCCAGCAGCCTGGCTACTGACTGGGATTCTTTTGGATCACCTTAAAGAAACAGTTATGGTTTGCAGTTTGTCTCATTTTCTTATACTATTTACAAACATATTGCAGCTTTGTGAACTATATTTTATACTTCACAACTCTGAACAAAAGGTGTATGACTCAAATAATATAAATGGGATTGGAGGGAACTGGATGTTATAAAAATGAAATGTTAAAAGAAATTTGGGGTACTTTTGCAAAGCGCAGGAAGAAACCTGCGGGAAATACAGGGAGGGTAATTAAGTTGAGCAAATCTGCAAAAATCATAGAAAAAAAACTGCAAAGCGTAGGGAAGGTAATTTATATTTTTAATAAGGTAGGCACATGGGAATCTTATTTTTAAAAAATAAAATTATTGAGATTTGAGCCATCAAGACGTACACACTCGTCGAATTTCGACTTCAAATTCGTGAAAACTCGCTGGCACAGCGCTAGTGGGAAATGTAGTGCTTGAGCTGGGCAATCGTCGTCGGTTTTGTTAGCGTAAATGCGGCTCTTGAGGTATCCCCAGAGAAAACAACTCAGTGGCGTGAGATCTGGGCTTCGGGGAGGCCACGGAATGTCCCCTCGTCGCGATATCAGTTTTCCACTAAACATTTCGTTTACAACTGACAAATATATATATATATATATATAAAGAGTAAATTATCATGCGGAGAAAGGTATATAACAAAATAGGAAAATAATGGGCAAAATCCGCAAAAAGTGGACTTGAGCAGAATAGGATAGGTAACCCGAGCGATACGTATTTCTGCTGGTTGGCTTCATCAGGCCCGAAATGAATGCACATATGCAACTACAAAAGTAGAGACACATGCCCATACATCCGGATACGGGTGTAACCTGAGGAAACAAAGATGGAGAGGAAAAAAAAGACACACGAAGTCCACAACAAGAGCCAACCTACACATTGTAGTATAAAATGGCTAGAAGACACGCGGCGGTTGTGGTTATTTGTCGCCTTGAAAATTCTAGGTCTTCTAGCCATTTTATACTACAATGTGTAGGTTGGCTCTTGTTGTGGACTTCGTGTGTCTTTTTTTCTTTTTTTTTTTCCTCTCCATCTTTGTTTCCTCAGGTTACACCCGTATCCGGATGTATGGGCATGTGTCTCTACTTTTGTAGTTGCATATGTGCATTCATTTCGGGCCTGATGAAGCCAACCAGCAGAAATACGTATCGCTCGGGTTACCTATCCTATTCTGCTCAAGTCCACTTTTTGCGGATTTTGCCCATTATTTTCCTATTTTTGTTATATACCTTTCTCCGCATGATAATTTACTCTTTGTAGATCCTTTGGGCTTGAAGTACCACAGCAAGTGGCTATAACCGGCCGCGTGGTTGTGGTTATTTGTCGCCTTGAAAATTCTAGGTCTTCTAGCCATTTTATACTACAATGTGTAGGTTGGCTCTTGTTGTGGACTTCGTGTGTCTTTTTTTTCCTCTCCATCTTTGTTTCCTCAGGTTACACCCGTATCCGGATGTATGGGCATGTGTCTCTACTTTTGTAGTTGCATATGTGCATTCATTTCGGGCCTGATGAAGCCAACCAGCAGAAATACGTATCGCTCGGTTTACCTATCCTATTCTGCTCAAGTCCACTTTTTGCGGATTTTGCCCATTATTTTCCTATTTTTGTTATATATATATATATATATATATATATATATATATATATATATATAATACGCCTTACAGGTGTTCTTGATATGGCTAGCTGAGCTGATCTCTTTCGGGATGATAACTGTGAATTGCACCGTACGGACGTCGCAACTTCGCTTATTGTCCTTTTATTCAAATACCTGGATGGTCATCTTAGATTACATTAAATTACGACAGTGGAAAATGGAAAGGAACACAGTCTAACCTGATAGATAAATAGTCGTTAGGCAATTATTTAAGAAAAAACTTAAAAGACTTATTTTTTGACTAGCGGCACGACAAAGTTGAACATTCAAAGCACATGTGCCGTTAGATGTCTTGGAGGCAGCCTATAAATGCACATACCTAGCCGTACATAAATACATTGTTCATTCAAGCATATAATGGAGTATCAGAGCTGCGTGTTACAATTAAAGGAACTGGTAAAATGATGATACCACTTGACTCAAATGGCATTTGCAAGGTGCTCCTCTAACATCGAGTGCTATTGAAGTATATTTATTGAGTACCTAGGTAGTCTCCATCTTAGAGTTAATAAATAAATAACTTCAACATCGATGGAGGAAAGTTTTTTAATTACACTAAATCCCAATGTCAGTTGTTGATAGTAGTTACGCACTGGTCAAGGTCGTAGGAATAGGTATAACAGAAAAATTTGAGAATATGCATACAAATATACCTTGTACTTGTGCCAAATTTCCATCCAATCCGAGCGGTACTTTCCAAGTTACAGACGAGTCAAAGATTTGCGGACAGACCGACGGAAATTGGTGACATGATTTTTTATGATGTACTTGTGCAGTAAAAACGTTTTTAACTTCCTGCGGGCGTTTATGGTCAATACGTGTCAATACATATATTATTCAATGCAAGCGTTTGTGTCTTTTGTAGAAATCTAGATTTTACCCTCCATTTGGGATTCTCCAAAGTTGGGTGTGGGACGCCCCTACAAATTTTGATATGGGGTCTATGAGAAGCAACCTACGCCACTGTTAGATACTTCAAAGAGGCTCACGTGTGTATGAAAAATTTGTGGGTGCAATCTTTCGCACCTGAATGTTTCAAACTATCAACAGTTCTCGAAATTGAATGCTATTTTCGAACGTTATTTCACATCAAAACTCCCTGAGAGGATACACCAATAATTATTCGGTTGAGCAAATAAACCTTTCATATTTCAACCATCAACAGTGACGGCTCAGCAAGAGGGTTACCGATTCCTTTATTACGATTAAAATAGTTAATAATGAATATCAGTCTTGGAGTGCGTAGTGGAGTTCTGAACTTATTTGAGAACTATTTGGCTGATCGATTACAGCAAGTTAAGGTAGGGTCAGATTTAAGCAACATTCAAAAGATCAAAATAGGTGTGCCTCAGGGGACGGTTTTGGGACCAACACTGTTCCTCATATACATAAATGAACTACTTCGATGTAATTTCAACTGTAAGATGATATCATATGCAGACGATACTGTTTTAGTTTGCACTGGTCATTCATGGGATGACGCAATACGGAATGCCGAGTTGTCATTAAATAAAGTCAAATGCTGGTTGGATAACAATTTACTTAAACTTAATATCTCTAAAACTAAGTATGTAACGTTTTCTCCAACCAAAGCAGGCATGCCATTACACCACCGAACATTAATTATAAATGATAGTGTTGACACTGTCGAAAGAGTTGAAGTTATTAGATACTTAGGAATCATTGTTGACAGTAATTTAAAATGGCAGAGTCATGCCGAGCTTTTGGCATCGAAATTAAGGAGAATTATTCATAAGTTTTTCATTCTTAGGAATATTTTAAGCAGAAACAGTCTTCTCTCAATATATAACTCGTTTGTGGGGTCTCTACTAACTTACGGGATAAGTATTTGGGGAGCCGCATACAATAGTACTTTAAAAATACTACAAACCACGCAAAATTATATTGTCAGGACTATTTTTCGTATCCCATGTAGGTCAAGTTGCAGATTTGTTTACATTGAAAATGATCTTTTGAATGTTAGAGGTTTATATATTTTTGCTGCTCTAAAATTTGTTCACTCCCGAAACAATGTTCCAACCAGCCACGCTTATGAAACAAGAACTAAAATAAATATAAGTTACACCTATACCAGAGTGAATAAATCTGTTTGCCAAAAATGCATAAAGTTTGATGGTATTAGGTTGTATAATAAATTACCCCTAGAATATAAAATCCTCTCGAAGTATAGTTTCAAAAAAGAATTAAGAAGTTCATCTTAAATAACTTTGACATGCTTGCATCGACGGTAGCTTGACTCAACTCAGTAATTTCGTTTCTATCTAATGTTTTTTTTATTTCTTTTTTTATATACATTTGCTCATAATATACCTTATGACCATTAGCCATGCATTGAATTTGTATATTGTATGACACACACAAGCTTATAGCTTAGGTGTCTATTATTTTGTAGGAAATTCTTTTGTAGTAAATTGTAGTACTCTTGTTTCTCTGCTTAACCTTTACGCAAAATTTTTATTGTTTAAACAACATAGTTTGACCTTACTCGAAATATCCCTCTATTATCATATCTCAGATATTCATATTTTATGTACTCTATATTTATACTTCTGAGTGTTTTTAGTATGCTTCTGTACTATTGTTATGAATTTTAGATTTGTTTATGCAGACACGTAATTTAGGATTGTGACGACAAGATCCAGACATTTACCCTTTACGAAAGTTTACAGAATTTTCACAATTCATATACCGTTACTTGCTGGTTCTAGATCTGATGCTATATAGTATCTTTGCTCAGATTTCTGTTGCAATATTGATTATTCAGGGTAGCAAGAGCATACAAGCTCATGCATTTTGAAGCTTTTTTTTATTTAAATTGTACTGAAGGTTGTTTTTAATTTGTAAGTTATATTGGTTTTTGAATGTGAATTTGAATAAACTTTGTCTCCAGTTTTGGTAGTGCCCAGATCAGACCCAGCCTCGAGTATTTGCTCATACCTTTGGGGTGTTACTGAAAAGGCAGATAGCCTGAAACATCTCTCACACCTACAAGGAATCTACCAGTATGTCATAGAACTTAGTTTTTTTGGTTGTCACAGTATAAATACCTACGGAGCAGCAAAAT